AGTGGCGGAACCCATGTCCCATCGATGTCTAAGCATTCTGCTTAAGTCAATTAAGAGAAAAAAAAACATACATATGCCTACTTGCGGCAGCCCCCGGATTCACATGTTATATTTCGTTTTATTTTTTAAGTTTATATTATTGTTTTTCAATGAATGTTCACATGCAGATTTGGGCAGTAGAATTTCTTCTAGTAGCTTCAATTTTGGCGACGTAGTTCGTAACTTCTAATCATTTTTAAGATTTTTTTTAGTTTTAATTTTGTTGTGTTAGGTGCTTTGAGTTTTTATTTTTATTTTTATTTTCACCAAAAATTAAGTTTGTTAATTTTTATCTATATTTGAGTATGTTTATTTTTTTTCTATTTATCTGTTGTATATTATTGTAACATTCTTGTGATTTTTTTAATAAATAGTCCTTCAGAAATAAATGTTCACAACTTCGTATATATAAACTTGAATTTATTTCTTATTTTTGAGGAAAAACATAAGATTTGTTAAATCGATGAACTTGATCGATTTGGGTTAAGAGACACATGAAACAATATCAACGACCACAATACGCGGTTAAGTATTTGAATTTATGTCTTATTGTAATATTCTTGTGATTTTTATATTTTATTAACTTTTAAAAATACTTAAAATATATTTTAAATAATAAACTGTGTATAATAAACATGAATTGGAAGATTCATATACCTAACAGATACGTAGATGAAGAACATAATTATTACAATTTTTTAGAATACAAACATGAAAACGAGGTAATACAGTATCTTGTTTAAACTCTACTTGTTATCATTCATAAGTTAAAAGAAAATTTAAAAATAGTTAAAAACTAGATAGAATTAATAATTTTATAACTTAAAATGCTTATTTACATTTTTGAATAACACTAATTATTAATTTTTTAATTGAGGATAATAAAATTTTATTTTTATTTTAAAATATATTTCATATTAGAAAAACCAAAATCTAATTATAGTATTATTATTATGTAAAATAGAAAATTGTTTAAAGTGTACGTTTTAACATGCTTCTATTATTTATTTAGTTTTAAAATTCATATCATCTATTAATTTTTTAATTTACCGTTATACTTTCACATTTCTTTAGGGAAGTATTCTGTGTAACATTTAATATATCTTAAATATTCTCAAAAACGTTATGTAATATTTTTTGAAAATATTTTAATATCTTATTTTGTTTAAATATTATTTCTTAAAAACATTGATGTTTACTTTAAAATTATTTGATTTTCAAATATTTCTTTTGTATAATAATTGATAAAGTTTATTATATCATATCAATTAAATTTATGTTTCTTTTAAAATTTAAATTAAATTTTAAATTAAAAAATAACATATAACATGTAATATATAAAGTGTGTACATGTGTGTATTTTAAACCCTGACACACACGTTTGTATGTATTATACATAACATTGTCATTCAACTTGATTAATATGAACAGGGATATATACAAAATTTTAATATAAATAACTTCAAATAATCTTTAATTATAATAATAAATTAATAACATATGCTTTTAATAGAGTATAGATTTGAGAACATTTAAGAATATAATTATATATTTATATTATAAAAAAATCATTTCATGGGAATGTTATTTTTCCATCCCTTTTATGATAATTTAACAAAAAAAATTAATTTTTTTAAAAAAATGTTAGTCTTTTTTAGAGTATTTTAAAAAAAAAATTATAATGAATATGGTGTTTTAACGTTCCTAACTTAAAATTATTGAGAAAACTTGGGAAAATTCCTTGTATCAAACACCTCCAAAGCTCTCTCACTGAAGAATGTTTAAAAATCAATAAACAAAAAAGTATATTAAAAATACCTTAAAAGAATATTAAAAATGATTATAATTTTTTCGGAGGTAAACGAAAGGAACACCACATGAGGCTTTTCGGCTAAAACAGTTGATTTAGTACACTTTTTTTGAAAACAACTCAACCTAGCTGGGTATGAAGTATAAACTGTTTTTAGACGTGTTGACTATGATCCTATAGTTGACCAGTTAACAAGGAGAAATCGAAAATATATGCAAAGTGTTGTTTAGAGTAATTTTGTGATCTTCATTTAAAAATATCAATTACTATAAAATGTCGCCTATTGCATTTCATCATAGTATTCTATAATATGGAATATATAAATAATTCCATACAATAGGATGCTCATGATCGATAAGAACAACTGATAGGGTCATGAGTAAGGCTTGTTTTTCTTTTCAAATTTTAACTTATAACTTTATACAAATTTGCCACTAGTTCACTTCTGGTACATAAGGGGCTTGTCATTTTATTAATCTATTATTATGATTATTATTCTTTTGGTTATGCTCCATTTACATTAGTTTATTACAACCATGACATACCGTGAATCAGTTAGTGCTCGTTCAAATTAGTTTTTTCTTTTTTAAATGAGGATAAAAATATGCGTATTTTTATCAAAATAATTTTAAAATTTCTTCATCCAGATTTTAGGTGATAATATAAAGTAATTCTACATAAAATTATAATTTACAGGCAGCGTGGAAAATTTTACAATAGAACAGAATAGTATGATGTCTGCGTGCATGCTTCAAACCATTAAGAGTATATTCTTTATTAAAAAAATATTTTGATGAGAAATAAAACTATTTCACATCGATTAAGAATATTATTTCATCCAAATTGAATACTTTTACATCTTTATGCATAGAAATAAAAATAGGTTAAGCCGTTCGAGATAAATTTACAACTTAATCTTTTTAAAGTCTAATTCGATCTGATTTATTTAATTAATATGTTTAATATAAACTTTTTAAAATATTTAATTAATTAAATAAGTGAAGTTTAAGCTTAAGAAAAAATCTATTAAACTTATTATAATGGCTTATTTAAAATTTATAATGATGTATTAAATTAATTAAATTTTAAAATAATAAAATCTTAAATTAAAAATTTTAATCTTTTTGTTAGAGTTAAAAAAAAGTCTTTACTATATATTTTTTAATAGTTTATTTAAATTTAAACTTTATAAATTTAAAAAAATATATTTAGTCTATTTACAAGAAAGATTAATGACCATTGAATGCATCAATACGAAGTAGATTATTAAATAAGTTAATAAGCTAAATTAGCTTTTAAAAATGTCAGACTAAACTTAATAAAAAACTTATACAAATAATAAGTTAAGTTCAGACTTTAAAATTATTAAACAGACCAATTCTATTTATATAAAATTTAGCTTATTTCTATCTTTTTTTACGAACATTGAAGAAAGTATACTGTATTCTAACTAGTCTATGTAAAATCCAATATTTTTGACTCAATATTATAACTATAGTTTACAAATTTAACACGTGACTAATCAAGATACAATTAAAATACGTGTTAACCCTAAATGCAAAATCAAGTAATCTTATCTTATCTTAATTTGAAGCTTTAATTCTTAGTTTCTGGTTCAATATTGTAACTTGCAGGCTGCGGCTGAGGCTGAGGGCTTGCCGAAGCAACGCTATGCAATTTGCAATTCTGATAACTATGACCGTTTTCTTTTACTACCATTACTACGTTAAATAATAATAATAATAATAATAATAATAATAATAATGCATTGATACTATCATCCAATTAACTAATTAAAAAGTACTTTAAGTTTTTGTTTTCTTACGTTTTCAACATGATTATTTTTAAAATTGTGTTTTTACATACATTTTGTATCTACCACCAAATCTTAGTAGTGTCCTAGATTATTTCATTTTAATTTATTTTATATACTAAATTAGAGCACTACTCTTTTAAGAATAATTAAATTAAACATTTTAGATTAATTATATGTGTATAAGTTATACCCAATCTCACATAATTTAATAATATTTTATTAAATAATTTTTTATAAAATTAAATGTTATATTAAAATTTTTAATAATAAAAATCATATTTACATATTTTGAGTTTGATTTAAATTTTTTTAATACATTATTCATATACATTTAAATTAACGTAATACATCAATATAAAAAATAAAACTAACGTAATATATACTTGAAGTGTGTAAAAATAGACTGTCTGAAAAAAAATCAAATTATATTATTATAGTTTACACTCAGTCTTATATCATCAATAATTTAATATAAAAATAAATTTTATAAATCAAACTATTAAATTATAATTATATATTACTTAAATTATTTATATTAAATTTAAACAATATTAAAAGTCCAATTAAATTATCTTTATTTTTATATATTTTAAAAAATTATATCACATTAATTTTGAGGTATAAAGTTAAAGTATTAAATAAATTTATATTCATCTTAAATTTGACAAACAAAATTTATGTTATTTCAACTCTTAATTTGATAGTTAAATTTTGAATTATATATATATATATATATATATATATATATATGTCATTATTTACTTTATAATTAATTTAACACTTCTCATTTATTTTACCCGTCTAACTATTATGACCACTAATTGTCTTTCCTTCAAAAATTTTTACACTAAACATAATTATAGTTAACGTATGAGAAATAAATTAAATAAAAAATTCCAATTCATAAAACTATTAATTACTTCTCTTAACTTATATTTTTTCTTATTATAGAGAAAGTGCTAAATTATATCCTTTTCCTTCTATAGTAAATTTTATATTATAATTTTCACAATATTTATTTAAAATACTTTAATAATATTATTGTTTTAATCGCATCAATAATTTTATCTTATATTTTCTTTTGTTATAAAATGTAATAGAAAAAACCTCAATCACTCGTTTGAGAATGAAAAAACTAAAAAAAAAAAAGGATGAAATCTCTAAGATGTTTCCCAAAGAAAACGATCAAATCTGAATCCGAAATGAAACATTGTTTGAATCTTACGCAGGCAGAATTGACAACAAGGGTTGACTTGACTCGAACACATTCTTCTTCTACTTACTTTAGTTTTGGCCCCTTATAAATACACCCCTTAAGATCAATCCTTTACTATACATTGATACAACCACCACTCTCCTATTAACAACATTTTCCAATCCAACAGTCATGGCTGCTACTTCAAATTCAGAACCACCGCATCCAACTTCAACCACCACCATAACCACCCTACATTCCGATATCATCCACACGCACATCCTCACACGCCTCGACGGTGCCACGCTGGCATCAGCTGCATCCGTATCAACTCTAATGAACCGCCTCTGCACCGAAAATTCTCTCTGGCGTAACATTTGCACATCCACATGGCCTTCCCTCGTCGACCCCACCGCAACACACGTAATCTCCACCTTCCCCGGCGCGTACCGTTCCATTTTCTCGGACGCGTTCCCTTCCCTCCACTACTTCTCTCCCCGTCCTCACCGCCCGTCTCCTCCGCCGTCGGAGCTCATATCCGCCATTGACATATACTACAAGGGAAAGCCGGTGTTCTCGAGAGTGAGATGCACCGAAACGCAGAAGAACTGGTTCCTCTTGTCGCCGCTGTGGGTTGACGCGCTCGAGCCGGAGGAGGTGGTTCCGACGCCGGTGAAGTTCACGAGAAAGGACGAGGAGTTGTTGAAGCAATTGGAGGATAATTTAAGCCTGAGCTGGATCGTGATGGATCCGAGAGAGAAGCGCGCGGTGAATGTATCGAGCCGGAGAGCGGTGTCGGTGCAGCGGCACTGGCTGACGAGGGAGGTGGAGGTGGTGTACGCCGCGGTGATGGCGGGGGAGAGGGAGCGTGCGACGGAGATGGTGCAGTGCGTGGTGAAGGTCACGTGCTGCGGAAAGGTGGGGGGTGAGTTGCACGTGAAAGAGGTGAATTTGATGATGGAAGACACGGAGGGGAGGCACGTGAGTGGGAAAGAGGCATTGGGGATTCTTCAAAGTGCGATGGAGTTTGGAGAGAGAAAGAGTTTTGATGGAGTTGAAGCGAAGGAGAGGTACGAGAAGTTCTCGTGCATGATGAAGGAAAGAAGAGTTATTAAGCACAGGAGACAGAAGGCACGTGACCTTCTTGCTATGCTCCTTGCCTTCATTGCTTTCCTCTTGTTTTGCTTCCTTGCTGGACTCTGAACTTTCATAACATTGAACACACTTACATTAACATATACATTTATTCATCAAAACTTTTGTTCTTTCATTCGTTTATTTCCCTTTAAGTGGGAATGTGTTCACATGTATTTTATTATTTAACTCCATTAATCATAATTGTAATCAAAATTCTCCAGGTATCCTTTTTAACTCTGATGAGTATCATTATTGATTTTAACTTGCTATATATTCTGATATAATAACCTAGTATAACTGAATTATTTTTATCAAATATTTTTTACTTGTTACCCCGACGGAACAGAACATGATTTCGGACATGCTTTGAATGGTAAATCTGAACATATATAAAAAGATGGTGAACTCATGGTCTGAAATAATAACTATATTTTAATCACATTATATGTAACGTTTTCTGTTTCTATTTCTTTTTTATACATACCCACTTCACACTTATAACTCGTTTGTATCAATTTTTTTTTTTAAAAAAGCATACTTTATGATGTAGCTTTTATTACAGTTGAAAAGTTTGCACTTTCTCTAAAACGGGATCAACTTAATTTCTCAAAAAGGATCTTATTTGTTGAATGTGAAAATCTAATAACTTTGATGAAAAGGGAAAATCGACAGTAATTTAAAATTTTGACGCATTTGGATGGTAGGATTCAAGTTTTAAATATTTATAATTTATCCCTTTCTTTATATATGCAGGCTGTATATAAATTGTGTGAAGAACGATATCGGCATGGAGTGGAGAAGAATGCTTTTCACATTTAGCATTACGCCTGAAAAAAGAAAACCTACCAGACAACCAGAATCAATAATAATAATAATAAGAAAAGTATTTGCACCTAATATTTCGGTGTTAAGTGGGTCGTCAGAAAGAGAAATGAAAAAATGAAGAGAAAATAAAAAAATATAAATAAAGTTGATAAAATAAACATATTTAATCGCGTTAGCTTAAACTTGTATGATAAAATGTAAAATTTTAAATTTATATTTATATTAAATTTGACTTTTTAAGCTTTATGTGATTAAGTTTGGTGTGGATCAAATTTGCAAAAAACTTACAAAAAGTTTGAAAAAAAATTAGACTTTACCTAACTTAAGTATATTTTGTCAGTATTATAGAATATAGACGTTTGTTGTTTGATGTATTAAAATCTATCACCTACTAACATAAAAGAGTACCTGAGCAGTTCCTTGTGTCCTGGTACGATGAATAACGTGATAAAAGAAAAACGTGTGATGAGTTACAATAATAATAGCATTGTGATTACGACACCACCAACCACTGTCCCAAACTCAAGCTCCAATCTCATATCTTTCTCCACCCCATCAATTTCCCGATTAGACTCTCCATCCTTATTCAGTCTCCGCATAGATAATTGATATAGAAATTTTTGTAGAAAGATGTTTAATTTTAACTAATTAATAATAGTAATATTGTATTAAAAATATATTTATTATACTTCTTATATTTTTTATGTAATACATGTTTTTAATAAGAAATATTATCCTTTTATGTTTAAGCTTCGACAAAATCATATTTTATTGAGTTGACATGCTAACATAAAAAGAAAAACATCATTTAAACTTTACTCTTTACAATATGCTAGCAAGATTCACCATCTCCTTCATTTACGTCACATGTTGCATTTGGAAAAGAGTAATTATATTCTCACCCTTTTTGCGAAGTTTGAATGTATCAAATAGATATATAAAAACAAAGGACAAAAAAAGTAGAAATAAAATAAGAAAAAAAGATATTTGTATTATATAAAAAATAATATGTGCAACAATATTATTTTTTAAGAAAAACACATTTTTTCACCTGTCTTCTCGCAAGTACTGGGTGAATGAAACTTTTTACCCCCACAATACACAACACATTAGATGGAGATATTCTCACCCCCGAAATACATGTTTTTCGCGAGACAAACATATATGAAGATTTTTGGGCTTAATTTAAGTTGTGTTCATCAACTTTTTGTTTTTGGTCAAGAGTTGTGTTCATCTTTATGCCCAGCCATCTCAAGGCTTGGCCCTGTGCTTCTTTCTCATCTTATTGGATTTTATACCGAGAGAGAACACCAATTTGTTGGGTAGGGAAAGTTTTTTTTAAGTAGAATAATGACTAAGACATCTCAATGTAACTCTAAAATTTTAAGACAATAGGTGAATGTGTTCATCTCTTTATAAACTCTTAACTTATCCATATTTCATTTCATGTGAAACTAATGCACACTTGACTCCAACATTTTTCTCAAGTGTAAACCTATTTATTTTATATCGGCTCCTTCTGCAGTGAAATTTTTCTTTCATCTACGAATATCTATAGTCTATACTATAACAACTCATATCGACTCCTTCTGCAGCAGAATTTTTCTTTCTATCTACAAATATCTATAGTCTACACTACAATAACTCTTGCTTTTTTCACGTAAGCTGTTGTCCACTCAACAATACTTTTTAGACTGCACACACTCCACACGTGGGTGCCACTAGCTTTCTACTAAGGCTTATCTAATGTTATTATTTCCTCTATGATGCACTTTTACACTCATCATAAATGTCAACCATAAGCTTTCTTGATACTACTATTAAGTAGAGGGAGTTTTTTTAAGTAGAGAGCTTCAACAATGAGTAAGATATTAAAATGTAACTCCAAAATCTTAAGATAATAAGTGAATGAGTCTGTCTCCTTATAAACTCTAAACTTGTCAATATCTCATTTTATGTGGGTCTAATTCACACTTTACTTTAAGATAATTATGATGCAATCTTTTTCCTTTCTTCAACTTACTCTCATACGTTCATTAAAAAATCAAACACAAAATACAATATACACGAGACATTGTATTAGTTCTCAAAATATATTAGATAAATTATATTTTTATTAATAAATTGCGAATAAGAAGTACCGTACACAAATCTAGATATCTAGTAAATATGGAAATGAGAATTAAAGTTATTATTCAATAAATATAGATAATTTTTCAAACACAAATATAAAAGTAAATATTATAATATTCTACTCAGTGCAATCTACATTTCTAATCAATAAAATAAAAATTATTAATAGAAAATAAAATTTATTTCACTTTACATATATACAAGTGTTATTTTACTTAATTTTACAAGACGTCGCATGATATATATATATATATATATATATATATATAAAACTATTAATTGATTATTTTTTTTATAAATTCCGTAAAAAGTAGCTAAATTTATTCAAATGTATTATAATCATATCACATGCTATTCTAATTTTTTAATTATACCTAATCTAAAAAAAATAATTAAAAACATATTAACAGTATAAAATAATTTGTATATTATTTTTGAATCACGAATTAACACATCATTACTGATCATTAACTTTATCAATACTTATTTTTAAAAATATATTTATGTTAATTTTTATTTGATTGATAATATTAATATTTTTATATTAAATTATAGTTAGTTTTTTAAAATATACTCATTCAAAAAATTAAAATAAATTTTAAAACTTATTTAAATAATAATTAACTTAAAAATAAATTATTGAAAAATACATAATTAAACAATCACCGTCTAATTAAAATATGAGGTTAAAGATGAAAAAATCCTACTGGAGAGGGTCATGTCCATGAGATGACCAAAGGATTTATAGACCCCACTTTATCTTAAAGGCTCCAACGTGGCACATCGTTATTGAGTATCGCACGCATCCACGCAAACGCAATCCAAACCCAATCTAATTCGGGGGATTCCATTTGGTAGAAAATAACAATAATAATAATAATAATATCAATAATAGGAACCGAGAAACAACCATCACCACTAACAACTTCTGACTCAGAAACAGTGGGAATTCAGCATTCTCAACCCCGAATCCTAAGAGCAGAGCGAAAATGGCAACCACCTTTGCGACCGTCGTAGGATTGGGTGGCGCATCACTGTTGTCCACCTCATCTCGTCTTACATCGGGTATGACATGCACATGTCTGGTAGGATCACGATGAAGATCATATGTAACATGTTTTTTTAATTTGCTTGCAGGGTTTGTGAGACCCCAAGCGAGAGCGGGGAATCCTCTGAGGCAAGGTGTGGCAATGGCAAATGGTGGGAGGGCAACGTGGTAATTTTAGTAGGAGGTTAATTTGTCTGATTTTGATATTAAAAAGAAACAAAAATTGAATAAATGAAATGGTGACACATTTGTGAATTGTGTGATGGGGTTGAGAAGCTTTGAGAGGAATTGGCTGCGGACGGATTACAGTGTGATCGGGTTTGGGTTGATCGGATGGATTGCACCGTCTAGCATACCGGCTATCGACGGTAAAAGTCTCACTGGCCTCTTCTTTGAGAGCATTGGAACTGAGCTTGCTCACTTCCCCACAGGACCTCCTCTTACTTCACCGTTTTGGTTAGTCACTTCACTCCTTTTTTCTCCCTTTTTCTTCAATTGCTTCTTTACTTTACATAGTAACCTTAGAATCCATAAAATTTAGCCAATATTCTTTAAACGTTTTCTTCATTCAAGTTTTATTTTAATAATATGTGATAATATAAAATATAAATATTTTTTAATTTTAATAATAAACAATATTAACCAACAATGTTTAAAGATTTGCACGTAAATTGAGAATGCCCTTGGTACTTCTCGCTGCTCTAGAAAAGAAAGGCAATAGGTGAAATGCAAAGTTAGGAGTCTCTGCTGAGGTTGACTTTATGTTAGATTTACTTATATATATATATATATATATATATATATATATATATATTGTGTTAATACATTCTTTTTCTCAGAATAATCTTTTTATTGATGACAATGATTGACAGTTAAATTCTTAAAGTATAATATTTGGGCTTAAAAGCGGAAATGTAAGTAAAATGGACTTCGGCCCAGAGTTTAATTGTCCAATTTCGTTTAGTGGGCCAAAGTTTTAGTTATCCATAATTTTGAGTTTGTCTCTGCTCCTTGTTTTTCTTCTTTCTTTTACAACCTCAATTTGTGAAAATAAAATACAAAAATAAAGGTCCCACCGAGATTTGAACTCGGGTTACTGGATTCAGAGTCCAATGTCCTGACCACTAGACCATGGGACCATGCTTGAGAGAGAATGGAAATTTATTATATAACTTTAATAATCACAACTGTTGACATAATATGAGACAACCATCGTGAGCAGGTTATGGATGATTACGTGGCACATTGGGTTGTTCCTCTGCCTCACTTTTGGGCAAATTGGTTTCAAGGGAAGGACTGAGGACTACTTTTGAATTCCTGACTTATGGTCTGTTTTTCCTTTGCTTTATTTTTTCTGCCTTGCAATCTATGATGTATAACTCTTTGCTACCTTTTCCTCCTTACTAGGAAAAATCTGTGTAATATCACCTTCATAATGTTGTATATTATTATTGTTGTACTTGTTCTCTCATCAATGCCCCCAACTTTTAGTCCTGCAAATTTTCCAAAGGCTAGCTTGTAGCTTCAGCAAGCTGTCATTACCATATTTACTGATCAAGAGAAAGAAAACATATTTATTCATCCAATTTTTTTTTTTATCATCAACTAGTAATTATTAAATTAATGTATATACATAAATCAAATATGATGCGTAATATTTAAAACAAAAATTTATTAGCCTTTAATAAGAAAACTTAAAGGATTATTTTAAAAATTTTCAAATAATTTTCTAAGACTTTTTAAGTAACCATATATTTTGATAGAATGAATAATACACCTAACGAGTACACTAAATTTGCAACTGAAATAATGCCCTCAAATTAAAGAAAATGCTTTTGAAGTAGCCGTCAGGAGTTAGGACCAAATGATCGTTTTTGTTATAGGTTGAATAAATTTATTTGTGAACTCAAAACGTGGTTTGAGCAAGTGTAAAAATTTGGTTCTGAAAACACGTACATCGAAATTCATTTTTTCTCTATTAGGGGGTGACATTTGTCTTGTACGAACAGACGCTAAGAAAGAGTTCATTAATTTTGCAATTGATCTTAGCAGTTGGGACCAACATTTTCATCAATCGTTTCATGCATTTTGCTTGCCTTGTCGGCAATGTTCAAATCAAGGAGGTTTCTCTGCAAAACTCTATGCCCCCGTTATCTTCTCATTCAATTTGAATATTTTTCTGTTTTTACCTTAGTTTCTTATCTTACCAAAGCAACCAATAATCCCTCCACCAATGTCAACGCACTTACCGCTCCAATAATTTAAATTGGCCTTGAAAACTTTGATAGATTTTGCTCCTTGAACTAAGAAAACTATAAAGTGAAGAAGTGATTATCTATTTGATGTTAATTTAAATTGTATTATATTTATAACCCTTTTATTTCAAAATAAAGGTGAATAAATCTTGTAAAAAAAAGTTGATCAAGTTGCTAAGAATCGAAGAGTTTATATTTCTATAAAATTGTGCAATCAAATCCCATGATCAATGTGAGAATCTCTTTGTAAGTAATATTTGTAAGCGCTAATTGAATCTTAGTCATGCTCTAATTTTTTTTAGTGGAGTCTGGAAGACCCAACATAAACTTTTGGTGAGAAAATAAAAAAGAATGAAACTTAACTTTTTGAACGTGCAAATCTTGTGGATTTAGAGGGGTGAATGGAATTGGGATATGCCGAATTTGCTTCACATAGAAAAAGCTTTCAGTTATGTCCTTGTGGGCGTATCTGAGCAGATAGATATTTGATACTATGGATCTTAGACAATGCAGTAAAGTAAGTGATAAAAGGTGGTGGTTCCATGGAGGAAGATTAACTTGGTATAAATGCTTGTGCCGTGCATTTTCCCACATACTTCCAGACATAACGGCCAAATGTCCAAACGAAACCACACTATATGTTCCCTTCCAAAAGAAAGAATCATAATAATAAGGCAATGTAACCTTGGTGGGGGCCTCATACAACAATTTCTGTGTGTTTCCTTTACGACCATTAGATTTCCTAAAAGCCTCGTTGAACCGTTTGTTGGGCCCCACCTCGTGACCCATGAATGTGTGAAGGAAGAAGCCCAAACCCAATAACTTGTTGATATGATTGATTCAGAGTTTTAAAGATGTTGTAGCAGCACACACTAAGTAGATTAGACATCCACCTCAATTATTCTTCCGTACGTTTATTTATTTTTATTGCCTTAACTTTACAAGTGCAACCTATTTTTCTCTTCCTCTCTTTGTTTTAATTTGGTTGTAATATTGGGGTTATCTCCATATCATGGTTTTGCTATCCGTCAAAGTATGAAAACAATATACTAATCGTATGACCGCTAATGATTTGGCATTCAATGCATGAATATACTACTCTCTTTCACATGGTGAGACGTGACAATAATTAAACTTTATCTTACTATTAAATATTAATCATCTTTCAATCATATCAAGAAAATTATTGGGATTGGTCCAATTAGAATATAAGTTTATGACTTCAAGGACTAGTGGCAAAATGAAAAAAATGGTGTACAATGACGCGAGAAGTGTGCTATGGACAGATTTGAGGAACATTCCAGGTGAGATCAAGGTTAAGGTGCAAAGTGCACAGTATATTATAGAATAAACAAATGCAATACAAAGAATCAAGTCAATAAATCAAAACAATAAATAATCAATATCAATATCAATCAACACTAATATTGAATATATTACACACTCTTTTAGTAGCATGGACGTTTCTTAGAACCTTGAAGTTTTAACACAACACATGCACGTCCCTGATTGAATGCACATGCCCCTCACGTGTCTGCCACGTTGTCTCTTCCCTTCTTTTTAAGGGGTTTTTCCAACGAATCAAATGGCCAATAGAAGTGCACCCTTCCCTCTCATTTCTCTCTCACAAACACACGCTTTTTCTTTCCCTCTCACAAGACCAACACAACCCAACCCAACTTAAAGCTTCCGTTTATTTCCATCTCAAACGTATCTTTCCATTTTTTGACATGTTCCCACTTTCTCTGGTCCTCAAACTCCTTTAGACCTTCAAATAATAAGCCACAAAGAGAGAGAAAAAAAAGGTAACAATAGTAGCAGTAGAAGAAGAAGAAGAAGAAAGAAAGAAAGAAAGAAGATTTTCATGACCCACTTTGCTAAATTCAAGGCTAAATAGTTGCATGTCAAAACATTGAAAAAAGAAGAAGATGATGATGCTGACTACAACTGGCACCTTGCTCTTAGGAACTTTGTGCACATAGCACGGCCCTTATTCCGTGTCCTCATTTCATCACACAATTTTCACCACCATGCCCTCGTGTCATCATACCAACAACAACAACAACCTCAACGAAGGTCTCAAACAGAACCACAACAAGACCAGGAAACGAGGTTCTTCTTCTTCTTCTTCATCCTCTTTGGTCAGAAGATACCGTTTCAAGAGAGCTATTTTGGTAGGGAAGAAAGGAGGGTCAAGCACCCCAGTACCCATGTGGAAGACTAGGGCAACAACTTCACCTTCTATGGCTACTCAACATGCCAAACCTTTGCATTCTTCTGCTTCTGTGTTACCCTCCAAAGACAAGGAACTTTCTGTGTCAGCCAGAAAACTAGCAGCTACACTGTGGGAAATCAATGATTTGCCTCCTTTCAAGAAGGACTTTGAGGTTGACCAAATGAGAAGCTTGAAGGAAAAGATCAGAAGCAAAGAGAAAGGTGCGAGCCTGTCCAGATCGGGCTTGTTGCGGCCACAGATGTCAGATCCATCGCATAGTCCTATCTCAGAGGTGAATTCAAGTCAAAGTTGTGTTCTTTCCTTTTATTGGTTCACTGGGTCTGGCTTAAAGCTCTGTGATTTTTGCTTTGGCTTTATTTTTTTGTATAGAGAATGAAAGGGTTTGAAGGTGATAGCTGCAAAAGAAGGGCGTCAGGGTTTTCTCATCAACTTCACTCGGGTGATTACTATTTGGAGGCTCTGGATGCCCATAGCAGTGCCAATTTAATTGAGGTAGAGTGTATGTAGTAAATTTATCAGACCTATTAGAAATGTGGTAAGGATAATGGTCATCATTTTCATAATCGTCATCCAGTTATTTCACTTTTGTTATTTAGTTTTATATGGGGGTTTTATTAGTGGACGAAGAGGAAGATGGATTACAAATAAATGGCACTTCACACATGTTGTGCTTATGAGATGTTTTAAATTGTTTACTAGTACAGGGTCTTAAAAACATCGACATTGGTTTGAACTTTGAAGTAAATACACTGACCTTATAGCTCATTAATTAGAAATCGCTAATTTAAAGATTAAACTGAACGGATAGATGTGTCGTTGACATGGTTTCCTGTGTCTAGATTAGGGATTTGCATTTCAATTGAAAAGGTAAAAGCAGGAAAAATATATGTAGACCTGATTTGTTAAATTATTTATAATTTTGCTTCACATAATGATGATATTTTGTTCTTTTTCTTTACCTGTTTGTTGGGATGGATGAAAATGAACTATGTTGAAATCTTGAAATGTAGGAAGTAGAAAATCAGCTAAGAAATGAGAAGAACCGTGGCAAATGCGCGGTTGGTGTTAAGAACCGTCTGAAGGAAGCTAGAAGTGGCCTTTCTACATCAAAGAAGCTTCTAAAGGTGTTAAATCAAATGTGCCTTAGAGAGCAGCAGTCATCAAGCATGCCTCTTGTCTTGGCTCTAGGTAGTGAGCTTGATCGAGTCTGCCATCAAATTGATCAACTGATTCACGAACAGCGTTCGAACCAGAACGATATAGAGTATGTGATGAAGCGTTTTGCAGAAGAAAAAGCTGTTTGGAAAAGAAGAGAAAGAGAAAAGATTCATGATGCCATAAAACATGTGGCAGAAGAGCTTGAGGTGGAGAAGAAATTAAGAAGGCAAACGGAACGGCTGAATAAGAAGATTGCCAAAGAAATGGCTAGTATAAAAGCTTCCCATTTGAAAGCATCCAAGGAGCTTGAAAGGGAGAAACGTGCAAAAGAGATTTTGGAGCAAATTTGTGATGAACTAGCCAGAGGCATTGGTGAAGACAGAGCACAGGTGGAGGAACTGAAAAGGGAATCAGCTAAAGTCCGCGAGGAGGTGGAAAAGGAAAGGGAAATGCTTCAGTTAGCCGATGTTTTGCGCGAGGAGAGAGTTCAGATGAAGCTTTCAGAGGCTAAATATCAATTTGAGGAGAAAAATGCTTTCCTTGAAAAGTTGAGAAATGAGCTTGAGGACTTTATGAGAACTAGAGATGAACAAAAGGAAGATGTATCACCAGAATGTAAAAAAATCAAGGATCTTGAGTCTTATTTCAACAATGTCTGCAGGGGATTCCAAATTGAAGAGAAAGAGGATGATTTGGATGTTGGAGATGATGTAGCGCATGAAGGAGATGACTCAGATGACAGTGATCTTCATTCCATTGAATTAAACATGGATAGTGAAAGTAAAGGGTACAAGTGGAGTTATGCTTGTGAAAATGTTGCTCAAGAAGAGTTAAAGAAATTTTCAATTGACAAAGAAAGTATAGGGAGGAAATCTTTCTCAGAGAAAATTCAGTGGGGAAGTATTTGCTTCAACAAGGGAACTTCCAGTGGTAGGAAAAGGGATTTTACTATAAATATTCAGCAAGTTTCTGATCATTTTGATCCTAACATGTCAATTGAATTTCTCTCACGAGCTCACGTACAAGATGATAAGGATGAAACTCAGAGCAATAGGTCCAGTACTGATCTACAAGACTCTATGTCATGTGCGACTTCTGCTCAGAGAAATGGTCTCCTATTAACTTTGCAGTGTGCAAGTGGAGAAGCTGGGGAAATTGCTCTTGCCTTGGAGGGTGACAATTTGAAGCAAGAGGTTGCAGCAAGAAAATCTGGATGTTAAAAGCAGAGTTTTTTTTTTGACAGTTGTAGTTAGTAACTCATGATCTTAGATAGCTTCTACTATTTATGTTCTTAAGTGTAAATGCATGCTGTCTTTGATGAATTGAATATGGTCAAGGCTTATCATTGCTCTGTGTGGTAACTGTTAAAGCTATAGAAAGAAACATGTATATATTGAATAGATTCTCATACTACAGTTTTGTGTTAGCTACTTCTGGCTTTATTGATATTTGATGCTCGAGTAGAGAACTGTTTGATTCCAGAAAATATTGTCTATTTTTACTTTTAATTATATAATTGTCACTTTATTTTTGTTTTGTTTCTTGTTTTCAAATACTTGAGCAGAAAACACTCAAAAGTAAAAACGCAGAAAGGTTGTTTTAAGCGGTTCCTATATATCTTTAATATTAGAATAAAACCAATATAATTTTGTAATTAAAAGTGAATATAAAATAAAAATGTAACATTTTCTAAAGCCAATCAGCTCCTAAGCCAAAATATTGATGAGAAAAACAAGGTTAACAATGTCATTGCCACACATGGAATTTCTTTACTGTTCTCAAAGAAAATAATGGTGCCTTTTTGGTTTAACAAAACAAAGGAGATAAGAACAAAGACAACTATATATTTTAGATGCATAGTTGTGATTTAAATGAAACAGCTCTGGCCGTGACAGCGTGAGGAATAACATTATCATTGGATACTTCCAACTCCAACAATTCAAATATTTGAATTGTGCACTGTATGTTACCTCCGTTTGGAACTTTGGATCAACCATCGTGTAGTGGGCCATATTTGAGATTATTTGACAGCAACAGCTTTAAATTTTTGTACAACAAATATATCCAAATATAACGTTGGATCTGTACCTAGCACCTTTTACTGTTCATACTAATTTCTTGTAAGTATACATGTTGAATTCTTCTTCACATGGTGAAATTTAAAGATCAAAGGTACTCAAAGGAATATGTTCAGTAACCTGCTTGTATTCTAGCACCATTATTGATTACTGAATGTTCACAAGAATTTGCGTTTGAAAACTCAATGAAATCATATAAAGTCACGTTTTAATGTGAAAGTTATCATCTGTAGCATTAAAATGAATTCACCGTTCGAGTAGATTTGATGGTAATTCTAACACAAATGTTACTCATGCAAAAAAATTTAACAAATCTTACACTTTTTTTTTCTCTCTATCTCCCTTCATCGTTAGCCTGATTGGATAGTTTTTATAACCGATTCCTCCAGAAGTGAAATATTATTGCTACTGTTTAACAAGTTTTAATTTATGTGCAATTAAGTCATAACCATTCATTGTTTATAACAAAATCGATCCTAGCTTTCCAACATCATATCATTGTGAAAATTTATTATTAAAATTGTTATATGAATAACAATACTAAAAAATTTAGAGAACAAACCCATTTCAAAACAATCGGAAATACCAAGACTATAAACTAGTTAATGGTTAACAACGGCAAACATTGTTTCATGAACAGTAACATTATTAGGTCCTTGAAACTGATAAGAAGAATGACAAACTAACAAAAAGTAATTAAAAGAACTATCACTTGAATTGCTTAAGCTTTCGTGCAAGCTTAGTTTCATAACCTTAATTTTTAGCTTCTGAAATTAAGCGAAAAATAGCAAATACGAATCCCAATGCCATTTTAATAAGTTTATCTAAAAAAAAGTAAAAAAAAACTAAAATAAAAATGAAACCGCATATTGTACAAGGTAAGCCCGATAAGCTTTCATAAATGGACGTAAGATATAATTGTTAACATAAAAAGAGGTCAAATAAGGCTAAAGTGGTGGACAGGTCCAGAACTGGAGGTTCAAAAGTTGTTGACCATGAAGGAAGAAACTACTACTTGGTCTTATCTTCAACTTTTGTAGATGTTGATGTAAAAGTAACTGGGTTTGTTGGATGGTCCTTGACAATCAAGCTGAGCACTTCAGGCCTTGAATAGTGTCCAACCACATCAAAATCAAACTTAGCTCTCGCTATTTCTCCAAGATCTGCACCAAAATTTTCAAGAATCAGAGTGTAACATTCAACTCAGAGAGGCAAATCTTCTGATAACAGAAGACAAAGAAGTAACCCATCAATGAAGATCTTCTTGACACCCCAACAGACATATTATTAGTCCTAGGGTAACGTGTCAATAGTGCAGTTTGGTTTCCTCAAAAGTATAAACACATATGAAGCACGTTTCATAAATTTTGAGTCAAACAAAAGCAACCTCAACGAGTATCGTTAGTTAGCTAAACATTTCCATTCATCACATTAGGTTTTTTTATACAATATAAGATCCACACCAGTTTCCAAGTATCATTTGGTTTGGTTTAAGAAGAATTTTCTTCAAATATAGTGTTTAACCAAACTGGACTTTAAAGCACTAAAAAAGAGAATGGACACCACAGCTTATAAAGTCACCAACCTAACAAAATTGCTAACATACTTAAAATCCCATATTCTAATACTCTAACAATAACCCTGCTAAAGGCAAGGCTACTAGGCTCTTAGCACTTTTCCACAGCCTGGCATGGGTACCAGAAATGTACTGAATAATGAACTGCAGCTTGAGAGCCACATCCAAATCATCAAAGAAAGTAATGCTCCTTGAAACACAGTTCAATCAGTCATCAAACAAGCATGACATACCTAGGTCTGCTGAGATGAGTGCCTCCCCATCATAATTTGGTCCAGCCAGAATAGCCCCTGATGGTGATATAATGACACTACCCCCGGCACATACAACAGATTCCGGATTCAGGTCCTCTTCTGTGCCAGCAAAAACATACTCTGGAGGAGGTGGGTAATCCTTCCTTCTACAGAACTGGTTTGCTGACAAAACAAAACATCCACCTTCAAGAGCAATATGGGTCATTGATGCTTGCCACACATCCCTGGCATCTGCTGTAGGAGCACAATATATCTCCACACCTATTAAACAAAGCTCCATAGATTTATAATAAGAACACACTACACTGGTTTAAACCATCTGCCTCAGTACAAACAAAAGCACTCTTAATGGTCTTACGTAACGTTGCTTATATAACACAGTATGTTAAAAATCTAATAAAAAAGATTCTAACCTTTAGCATACATTGCTGTTCTTAATAGTGGCATTCTGTTCTCCCAACAAATGGCAGCACCTATTTTTCCAATGGGAGTTTCAAACACTGGAATGGTTGATCCATCCCCAAATCCCCATATAACCCGCTCCAATGCTGTTGGCATGATTTTCCTGTGCTTTCCAAGGTAACGACCTTGAGAATCAAAGAAGAGAACTGTACAATAAAGTGTGTAGCCATCCCTCTCTATCACACCCATCACTAAATGTACTTTATACTTCCCAGCCATTGCTGCCAATCTATCCACTTCAGGGCCTACAACCATAAAAGTTTTGTTAAAGGAATGTGTGTGCCCGCAGTAAATTGGATCTGTTAGATAGAATCAATGAGCGATAATTTTAGGATGAAACTTCTGCATGAAAAAAACTCATCTCCAGATTTTTAACTTCGACTTTTAATGTAACACCCCATTGATTCTCATGGTCAGTTAGGTATAAGATAAAAATGAAGGTACAAAATTAATAAAACATATGATCCAAATTAGACTAAGAAAATAAACGTAAACAATGATAGGTGGTCAAACTTGTCGATCTTACCAAAAATCCAACAAGGGAATTCGACATATTAATCTTTTAAGTTACCTTTAATATAAAATAAAATTACAATAAAATTGAACATATACATGGGAAAATAACAAAAATAGATATTTTTCTTTGAAAACAACTAACAAGTAAATAGATTCTATTTCAATTATTTCTTATTATACTTACAATTTTTTTAACTTGTATAATATTTTTCATAATGAAAAATTAATAAATAATAAGTTTTATTGAAAATTATAACATTTAATAATATCAATATATTAAATTATAATAAATTTTGTAATTTTTTATAACAATTTAATATATATAAGTTCTTATTACGTGCAATGTTACAAGGGTTACAAAAATTATTTTATTTGTTATGTTTATACATAGTAATTCATTTGGGCTAATGTTTGTGGCGGAATTCCTGTCATCTCTCCCATCCTATATCCCATGCCGACATGCGCACACCACCAAAGCAAGAGACCAATGGCATCGAAATTCACAGCAGAAACAACAAGGCCTGAATTTCACCGTGTGACAGCAACCCAGTGTTAGTTAATCAGTTATAGACACTGCATTATCAAACTCTTTATACAATCTAATAATTGAACTTTGTCATCATCAACAGCAAATCTCAGACTCTTAATACAATACAGATTATTTCACTTTTATATAAACTTTTTGATTTCTAAAAATTGCCATATTCGTACCCATATTTGTACTAGATACAGACATCGTACTGTAATCATGCAACATAGACATGCAGTGTAAGTGTTTGATCTTAGCCTTTTAGCTCTTACCAGGCACATCAATAGCGGCAGAATGATACCTGCGGAACTCCTCTCTACCCTTGGCCGTGCGATTTCCAATGGAAACACCGAAAACTGAACCACGCGGGTACCCACCAACAAACGCTTCTGGAAACACCACAAGCTGGGATCCATAACTAGCAGCTTCAGCCAACAACCTCTCAGCCTTATCTGCACATAAAATCATCAGCAACCAATTCAGAACCAAGAATTCAATTTTCCCATTTCATTTCACCTCAGAAACAATAAAGGGTACTCAACAAAATCAGCTCTCAACCCGAAAGATCATCCTTTGACCAATTTGAAGCACCCCAGATGGCGCTTTCAACACGAAAAGACTAAAAGACATGAAATTTAACCCCCCTAAAAAAAAGGTTGATATTTTTTTGAGGGACAAATAACAATTATTACATGAAAAAAATGGAAAACAGAGTGAAAGACAAAAAGAGCAAGTAAAAGCTTGATTGGAGTGGCAAAAAGAGGTTACCTAAGGTGGCAGGAGTGTCGTAGAAGATGGTGGAGGCTTGGACAACGGTGGCTCGAATAGTGGGGGCGTTGAAATCGGAACTCATGTCTACCTCGGCGAACAGAGGACCCTCGTTGATGGTTGGGTTCGTCGTTACAAGTGCCATCTCTTTCACAACTCCACTCTCTTCTTCGCTGTTGCTGTTTCAGACATCACAGTGATCCTTCCATATTTAAGTATTTATTTATGTTAAAAAGATAAAAAAAAATTCTAGGCTCACACTTCACGTAACAAAGGAGAGAATGACGCTAGGATTCTTCTAAACAAAACTAGATAAGTTTAGTTTAGTCGAATAAATTTTTAAATTTTTTAAATATAGAAAAATATTTTTTATATCCTTTTATTGTATCAATTATTTTATTTTATATATTTTATATCACTTCTATATAACCATTAGAATTTTCAAAATAAAGCAATAATGCCAGAGAAAGTGAAAAACACATGAAAGAGTAGAGAAGAAATTTGCTTGTTGGACTCACACAGCAGACCAACCCAACTGTGATGGCCCAGACATAGACACGTCAGGTTGCAAAACAGGCAACTCTTTTAGTCTTAAGCCCACAGGGTTTCAGACCCAAAAATAAATTTCGCCTACAATATAACCATCTTCTGTGCACCCAATTTTTCGAAAAACGTGTAGATATATGAGAGGAGAAGAAAAGAAAAAGGAAAAAAAAGATAATAAGTAAATTAATGTGATAAGAAATTATTAAAAATATTTGGAGTAATTGTGAATATATTGATTTCAGTCATGTAATCGGGTCTATGCTTAATTTTTTTTTATAATTTATAAATTAAATAATTATTAAAATAATTTACTAATATTTATATAAAAATATTAATTTATGTTTAAATAATAAATTATTTATAAAAAATATATTTAAAAAAGCAAATCTATATATTAAAATATAAATTATAAAATATTTATTTTTTTATGTGTAATTGTGTTAGGTGGAATTGATTGAGTTATAAATGGTAAGATTTGTATTTTTAAGACCTAAACGTTAATAAGTTGAGTTGGTCAAGTTTATTTGACTTATTAACGTTTTTAGTAGTTAAAATTAAATATTTATATTATTTAATAATTTTTTATAAAATATAAGATTAATAAGTTTTAATAATTAAATAATTTTATATTATTTGTATAGTTATATATGTTAAATTTAAAATAATTTATAATTTTTTTATGTTATTTAACATTTTATTTTTTATATTTTAAAGATATATTATTTATTAAAATAAAATAATGTAATCAAGTAATTGTTAATTTTATTTTTATATAAAATAATGTAAAATTGAACTACTTAATAATAATTTTTAAATTAATAATTAAATTAATTAATCCCATAATCTATAAAAATTATTAAATATATAATTATCTAAGTTTTACAGGTATTTATTAACATATTCTCATCCTTTTTAAGAGAAATAAAAGTGTTGATATACATATAATATGCGTATTATATGCTGTATTTATTTTAGTGATTTAAATAAAATAATATATAAATATTAATTTATGAGTATATAAACATAATTGGTGTAACATATAAAAAATAATAATAACGCAACTTTCATTACACTTTTTTAAAAAATCGAAACTAACTATATCTTAAATGTGTGAATAATTTAATAAATATAAAAAATATATTAAAATAATAGTGAAAAATAATTGAATAATTTTTTATTAAATAATAATTAAAATATAAAATATTTTCGTAAGACTTTTTGCTACTATAATAATAATATTATAGAGCATAGAAAATTATATATAAAATTTCTAATGTTTAAATTTCAAATTATATTTATAAAATTTTCTTTCAAATTTTTTGAAGTAATAAAACAATTAAAGAATGTTTTTGTTTTTTTTTCTTGTTTTTGTTTTTTCAAATAAATGAGCTTTACATGTATATAAGTAGCAATGTCTTCTTTCTACCCCAAAACACTCCCACTTTTACAAGCACATAAATAGAAAAAGTGTTCTCCGACAAAATAAAGAAAGCCAAGCCATTTGCTCAGAGTGAATACTCCTTTACTCGGCAATCTGAAAACTCTGCCATGGCAGGTGTCTCCCTGGTCTCAGCAGCCGCAAGAAGGTAAGGAAAATTGCAACTTAATTAAACTCTTTTTAATTTCCATATATATATTCTTTTAGAACTATGAGCTAGCTAAGACAATATGCAATATTCTTAATGAGCTTCAAGGCTTGAAGGAAAGGTAGCCCTCATCACTGGTGGTGCTAGCGGCATAGGTGAAGCCACTGCAAAAATCTTCTCCAAGCACGGAGCACAGGTAGTGATAGCTGATATCCAAGACGATTTGGGTTACTCAGTTTCGAAAAACTTGGATTCATCATCCCCCAGTTCCTATGTTCATTGCGACGTGACAAATGAAAAGGACGTTGAAAATGCTGTGAACGCAGCGGTTTCCAAATATGGGAAACTAGATATCATGTTTAATAACGCTGGTATAACTGGGGTTAACAAAACCAACATACTTGACAATTTGAAGTCGGAATTTGAAGAAGTGATAAATGTTAACTTACTTGGTGTGTTTTTGGGAACAAAGCATGCTGCAAGGGTGATGATTCCTTCTAGAAGGGGTAGCATAATTAACACTGCTAGTATTTGTGGTAGCATAGGTGGAGTGACTTCGCACGCATACACAAGTTCCAAGCATGGAGTGGTGGGGCTTACGAGAAACAGTGCGGTGGAGCTTGGAGCATTTGGTATTCGGGTGAATTGCGTGTCACCCTATATAGTTGCCACGCCATTGGCTAAGAAACTTTTAAAGCTTGATGAAGAGGGATTTCAGGCGCTTTATTCTAACCTCAAAGGTTCTCATCTCGGACCAAATGACGTGGGCGAAGCTGTTCTTTACTTGGGAAGTGATGAGTCTAAGTATGTCAGTGGTCATGATCTTGTCATAGATGGAGGCTTCACTGTTGTAAATAATGGATTTTGTGTGTTTGGGAAAAGTGTCTAAAAATTTGTATGCATGTCTTTGAATATTTACTATTTCTTTTTTATATATCACTGAATAATTACATTGTAGCTGATCGATGTTTTCATTGTCCCTATCATGAAAAAATGTTGGTTTTTTCTTTATTTAATTGGTATATTTTTCAAAATTATTTCTTTTATTAGTATATATATAAAACTATTATTCTATTTTTACACACGCATGAGTGTATTGCCCTTTTACAAGTCATATTAATTTTTTTATTTTTTAAATCAGTTAGTATTGCATATTTGAGATTAATACTTGTTTTGACACATCATATATACAAAGCGAATATTTTTACTTTTTTTGGGCTTGTTTTTACTTTTTTCCATATCAAGGGCGAGATTAATTTTTACTTGCTCTGTGCATGACAGGGGCATTGTGAAAATAAATATTGATCTAAAATATGTTATGCTGATTTAAAAATTAATTAAAAAAACAGTATTGCCCGTTACTGTGATACAATTAGTGATGATGTGATAAAAAAATTTAATATATATATATTAATAAATGAAATAGTTTTTAAAATTATATTAAGTAAATAAAAAAAAACTAAAAAAGTTGCATATTGAGTAACAGCTGGTCTCAACCAGTAAGAAAGTGACGCGAATGGGCAGCACGGCGTGGTTCTGAGCCACTACTAATTCCTCGTGAATCATGTTTTAATAATTTTTTAAAACATTCTTTTCAACTGATATAATAATTTTTTTAGTGTAATAATGTTAAATTTAAATTTGTTAAATTTAATTTTAAACAAATAATATAATAATTTATCATTTTATAGCAAATCTGAAACAATTTCTCAATTTAGAGTTTTGTTTGTTACGTGGATCTATTTTTTGCCATAACGGCTGGCGAAAGTACGGATCCGGATCTTCTACAGTGTTGGCGGGAACTGCAGGAAGCGCAGTGCATTTTCGCTTAAGCGACAAAATTCGCTTAAGCTAATTTGAATCAATTTCGCTTAAGCTTGGAAGAAGGCTTAAGCGAATAGAGAAAGGGCTTGACAGCGCGCCCAACCGAGTCACAAGAAAGCAAAATCATGTCTCGCTTAAGCCCCTACTTTCGCTTAAGCAATTTTAATTTAGCTTAAGCCCTTCCAAGCAAAAACAATTAAACTTGAGCGAAAATGGACCAGAGAGGCATGTAGTTCAAGATGTAGTTCAAGCACTCTTTTCGCTTAAGCGGAACCTAAATCGCTTAAGTGATTATAAATTAGCTTAAGCCCTGACAAGCGATTTTAATTAATATTAAGCGAATTTCAGGCAGAGAGTAATGATTCAAACATAGAAAATAGCTTAAGCGAATTTAAATTGACTTAAGCGAATACTTGCAGGGCTTGAGCCCAGATTTGAATTTTTCAGCGAATATATCATAAGTTGAAAAAAGTATGCAGACATAGACAGCATGTAACAAAATGGCTTAAGCGAATGGTGGCAAGACTTGAGCCAAAAATTTAATTTCCCAGCGTATCTAGATTCGCTTAAGCGATTTCATGGGCTTAAGCGAATAAATAAGAAAATGCAAACATTTTGCAGTAACAGACAGCATGCAAGGGGGCTAAATACACTGGATTACATCTGTTCTTCAACATACATCTTCCACCAAAAATATTTTATAATGACTTTGGCACGATTGTGAATAAATATTAAAATTCATCAATGAAAAAGTATAGAATTCAACATTGGGAAAGTAAAGAGAAAATGTATTACATAACAGAAAATGTTTATTCATTGATATCCATTACAATAAAATCATAATTCTAATCATGGGTCTCCTATATTGTCCTCTTCTTGCATTGGTTGTGGCCCATCTCTCTCATCATGTCTCCCTTCTTCCTCTAAGTTTTGATGTTGTTGTACATCTCCCTCTTGATGATCGTCAATGTCCTCATTGGCTCCTTCATCTGGATGTGATACATGATCTTCTGGAGTTTCTTCTTGAGCTAGGAAGATAGGGTTGTCTCCAGGCCACAATACAGTCGCTGCAAAAAGCTCTGGTGTTGGCCATGGAAAAGTAGATGGTTCACCATGATGTTGATGTAGAGTGAACCTGTGGAAAGAGAAAATCAGGCATGGTTGCATAATTGATTAGATATATTAAAATATTAAATGAGAAAATGGCTAACTTGTAGAATGACTCATTCAACTGAGTGTAAGCGCGATTGGTTGCTGCCAATTGTTGCTCTATGTGGGTTAGATGACATAAGACACTTGAATCCGTTTGTGGCATGTCAGGCATGAATGGTTGTGTTGGCTGTGATGTAAGTGGTACAGATGAGGAGGGTTGAGAGGAAGGTCCTGCAGGCTGTTCCAATTGATTGGTGTAATAATTTCTGATGAACTGGGAATTGATTGGTTTCTTCAAACTGATAGTTTGAGCGGCGCTCTCTGGAATGATAACGCTTTGGGAAGCACATAAAGTAGTGATGAGTGCTGAAAATCCCAAAGGTTTTGTTGCTGATGCAGTAGAGGAGGTGTTGGAAATAACAAATTGGTGCAGCTCATCTGAAATGATTGCTGCAATGTCAACGGATATCCCTTGCATGATACTGTATATGAGATATGCTCGAGGCATCCGAAGATCTGAGGTGTGTGTGGTTGGGGCAATGTTAGCAAAGAGAAATGATGTCCAGATTTGGGCCAAAGTATTCAGAGATTGTCTTTTGAACCTCATTGGCTTCCCAGCAGCATTTGTTTCATATGATTTTCTAGGGATGCATAAGGTCTCAGCTACCCTATGATCCAAAAAACCTGAGAATTGCTTTCGGCGTTGCTGGTATTGGCATAGCTCCCCTTCTTCTAAGGTCAAAGGGTTGCCTAACAAGGCTGAAATTGCATCTCTATCATAAGCAACTGGGTGCCTTCGAACCCAAGATCTCCTTTCTGACCTTTCTGGTATCAATGGCCAAGCATTTGCATAAAACTCTTTGACGATTACGTCATTAATTTGGTTAGGGAGATTTGCCAAGAATTCCCATTTTCTTCTCCTAACCTCTTGCATAAATTCTTCATACTCTCCTTCTTGTAAAGCTACCTTTCTCTCAGGTAGCAATTCTCTAGCCTGTAAGTCAATAAATCTCTGAGCCTTGGCCCTGGTTTTGAACCTATATCTATCCCATGATATGAATTCTGTTTGTGTTTGTGTTTGAGTTTGAGGTGGTGAATGTTCATGTTGATCAATAGGTTCATCACGCTATTGTGAAGTTTGGCCAACTTCTGGTCTCTGCCTCTTTCTTTGAGGAATGGATTTTTTTGGTGCCATCCTACAATCGAAACCAGAACAGAAATTTCAGTTAAAATCGCTTAAGCCTAATGTGTCGCTTAAGCGAAATTATGTCACCCAAGACCCCTTTCTCATTCGCATTTATTCGCTTAAGCGAAAAATACAGACAGACATCAAGGTAAGCTCAAAGTGACATTTTATCCAGCAAAAATATTTTCAATCAGCCCAACATCAAAATAAAAGTTAAAAAATGCATCTCTTATAATATAAATGAAACAGGGGTTATATACCCATACAAAAGTTCACAAATAACACGAAGGGGAAGACCCCATAATGCAATGGAAGAAATGTAAATGAAACAGAGTAATAGGAGAGATACAATGGTTTAGGGTTTAGGTTTTGTACCTAAGGAAACAATTTTCTGGACGGTTTGAAGCTGTGGACTACAGGACAGAGGCTTGCTCAGCTTAAGCGAGTAGCAGAGAGTTAAAATGCAGAAATGAAAGGAAAGGAAAGGAGGAGATTCAATCTTATGTAAAACCAACAGTCGCATAAATCACTTAAGCGGATATTTCGCTTAAGTGATAATTCACTTAAGCGATAACTATCGCTTAAGCGAATTACCTAGTGACGTCTCGCTTAAGCGAATATGGAGGCTTAAGCGAGTTTTGCAGAAGAATTGGCGCCAAATATAATGTATAGGCGTATTTCTTAAGAAAGAGGCTTTTCCCAATGTTAAAAATGATGAAACACTGAGTAGTGATGTTCTTAGAAGCTTTGATAAAGGAAGTTCCCTGGTTAGGGGGTATTTTGACAAGTTCATATCATTTGCTCGCCTTTTTGGGAAACTTTTTGACAAATATCATTT